GGTGGAGCCCACGACACTGTAGCGTAGGCCCCACCTCCACTCACATTATGTACACGCTTATGTATATGCTAATGTACAAGTAGCATTGTCCTTTCTGGTAAGTACATAATTGAAGGTGAATAAATCCTCTACACATGAAAAGACTGCAAAATCCTAAATGGCCAACCAACTTAGAAGAACTTGAAGCCTAAAATATAAAAGCTCCAGTCAGCAAGAAATACAATGATCCTAAACATTCTAGCCTCTTTGTCAATCCATATGCAGCAAGGAATGGCAATTGTTATCCATCTCTATTAGAATTTTCCTTGCTACAACCAAAACCCCCAATTTTTCACGAGGAACGATTCACTGAAAGATGCAAGTAGACAAGTTGCCACTACAACCCCATATAGCTTCCACAGTTCCACCATAACTCCAGTGCAACAGCGCAATGTGAGAATAGTATTAGTATGTGCTTCTCTATTTAGCCCACTCAGTGCAAAATATTTATAAAGACCAAAAATAGTCGAGTTAAAAGGTGGCAAGAGATCTATCCCAATCTATGTTCTACAAATTTCAAATGACGTGGCAGTTTCTGAATAACTAAACAACACTCCACATGGACCTGTATCAAGGAACATTATATCGGAGAATCGAACAACAGTTGAATCAACAAAATTCAAGCAATCAGCTATAATTACAGTTTACAGACATAACAAGTTGAAATTTTTTTCAACAAATTAGACAGCAACCTGCTACATTTTTATTTTGAAAAAACTTTGAAGTATGACCTACTTATAACTTCAGACAAACATTCTCAAATAATTCTTTAAGCATTTTTTGATTGGATGTCGAAATACTTTGGGAGTAGAAGATGAGTTTGTTATATTAAATATTTCCTTAGTACAAAAGTGAAATCTAAATTAAGAAACGATACAATAATAAGAAATAAAGACAAAGAAAGCTGAATACTGTGAAGATCTTGAATACATATCCTCAGCTTGCTTCTTGTTCTAATCTTCAATTGGTTTCGACATCTTATGCATAGACAATGGTTTCTTTCACAATCTTTCTGTTTCTGGAGTTCCCACGAACAGGGTTACAGGTTACCAACTATAGTTTGCTTCATAAGCATTACTTCACAAACTGAATAATTTTTTTCACATATCCACTGGGAGACAATTAATACCTAACATTCCAAGTCAGCCAATGTCCAAAGACAACTATAGCGAGACAGCAAATCAGGCAGCGCCAAAGGTGGGAAAGAAATTCCAAATATGGAATAATTAAAAACCCAAGAAAGACATAAAAATCAGTATCTAATGGTAAAAACACCCAAAGATGCACTGAGAAAAAGAGGATCCCAACAAACAAGTTCAAGGCAAACAGAGAATCTTCCTACGACCTCGATATCATGCTACAAGAACGAGCCAATTGAAACGTCAAGCTGCCTCCATCTAAAGTTGCCTCTCCCTCGACAGGTTCACAATCATACTGGTTCCTACAGCCTGGACATTGCCCATCCTCCTCAAGAATCCTCTTGTGACAGAAAAGGCAGAGCTGGAACCCACATGAACATGGGATAAATGTCGAGTCTGTGAAGTCCAAGTCCTCACAGCATATTGGACAAGATGTGGGGACTGGCCGAACAATCTTACATCCCCAAACTTACATCCAAGTCCAGAGTTTGAGCCTCTTTTTCAATACTCTCCAGAGCTATCTCAAGCTCCTCGATGCGTACTCGAAGCCTAAATTCTATCAACTTGTGGATGCACAAACTCAGCTCCCGAGGGGAAACTGCATAACTTGGAATGTGAATTATAAGACTCCAATTCTTTTAGCATATTCTTGTTTTTGAAGGTACGAGATT